AGCGAGCTGTAGTGACTTTTCTTTACTTCACGCTTAACTATCACCGGCAACCACCACAGTATTACTTGAATTTTCCACGTAGCGAGGCGGAAATCTCTTCTTTAACGCATTATGGGTTCTCTTAGGACGGTTCGGGTCGCGATAATTAAATAAGAGAGTGCTTCTACCAATATTTAACTACCAATAATGACTCAAAGGTGTGAGTACTATTAGTCCATTATGTACACATATTTTTCTAGAGAATATTATCTTCTCATCTTCACAACCTTCATTTAAGGAATAGGTGGTGGGCTGCCGCGTTAACGGTAGGGAGAGGAGGGAGTTGGAGTGGCAGGAGGGGGTATGGGAAATCCCTTTTTAATCGTAGATTATACTATTGCTGAGTCTTATACGAAGCACACTGGATAAATTTCATGTCTGTTCATCATGTTTTAGGTTATGTCCGCGCCGCTATGCCATCCAACTTATTTAGCGCAACATAACTCTTTTGGTTAACAAGTCATTCGGGTTGTGCAATGTCATCGATCCTGCGGCGCTACTCCCACAACTCTGCCAGATTTTCAGCCGTAATTCCGTGTTTGTTTTGATTTACCTTTGTTGGCTCCATTACATTTGGCCCTCATAACGTCGCCCTTATTTATGGTCTATTATTGCACCGGCTCATGCTGTCAATTACAGCTTAGATTACACTCGGCTGTGTCTCCTAATCGGGGTCCTTACTCGGAGTGGGCTCTCCGGTCGTCTCTGGGACGAACTTTTTACTGCTTCTTAAAGCAACTCTTGTTAGCTACAAAACATTAAAATTCGGTGAGGTATCTCACTCCCAACGACTGTTTTTACAGAAGTCAGTAATGCAAAGCCGTCCCAAACGACAGGCCTAGTGGCTTTCCAGTGGCTTCCCCTCATACACAGTGGCTACAAAAATTGGTTCATCCCCCATTCCTGACGGCAATTATGAAATTCTCATTCTTTATCCATCTCCATTTACCCGTCTGGATTTCATTCCGCCTCTAACGTTATGTTTGCTTATTCTACACTCAAATCGCGATTTATTGCTGCCACTCGGATTGCTCTACTTATCAGCGTCTGAAGGGCCCATTGTTCGCGGTGGATATAATAACTGTATTCCACTCGTACCTTGGACAAGAGCTCTTGTGGCCACTGACGCAAAAAAATATATTTTAAAATTTCTTATTTTGCATCTGATTCTTTGCACAAAAAAAAAAAAAAAAAAACTTTTATGGAATCAATTGTTCATCAGAAAATTATAGACGTTGAATTGCATGCTAAATGGATTAAAACCTAATGATGCCAAAGTTCTTTCTCGGAAATTCTTTCCTTAAGATAAAGTAAAAATCTGATAGTGCCAAACAAGCCACTTGAGACAATCATAATGCGTTACAGCACAACTGCGTTAGCAAAAGCCAACATGTTCTTATCTTTGGACCAAAGCATTAGCAAGTCAATGAGTATTCTGTGCTTACATGGGTCAAAAAGAATAGCAGCGAATACAGACAAATTAATGGAGGAAAATTTACTTAGGAGTTGTTTGATTGATTAAAAGAGAAATGCAGTGTAAAATGAATGTGATGTGATTAAAAATTTTGAAATTATTTGCGTTAGCAAAAGCCAACATGTTCTTATCTTTGGACCAAAGCATTAGCAAGTCAATGAGTATTCTGTGCTTACATGGGTCAAAAAGAATAGCAGCGAATACAGACAAATTAATGGAGGAAAATTGACTTAGGAGTTGTTTGATTGATTAAAAGAGAAATGCAGTGTAAAATGAATGTGATGTGATTAAAAATTTTGAAATTATTTGAATGAGTGTAAAATAAATGACGATGATTACCTTTTTTATTTGATCTGAAGTAAAATAAATGATGTTTAAAGCTAAAAAATGGTAGTGGATGGTGGGCGGTGGTTGGCACATGCCAGTGGAGCCAGCGATCGGTGGTGGTGGCCAATGGTAGCGACGGTCGGCGATGGTGGGTGGCAATAGCCAGTGACAATCACAAAAAAATTTACGGTATACTTCAAATCATTCAAATCTAACGATTTTCAAATACATCGAAATTGTACTAACAGGTGTATTATAAATACATTAAATTTTTATTATTCATTTCTTTTATTTTAAAGCAAATATCAATATTTTCAAAACTTATGCATTTGAAACACTTTACACCCGTTTTTACTTCTAACCAAACAGCCCTCTATACTACTTATTTTACTACAAAGCTGTTTTAGAAAGCAATAAGAAAGCTGTTTTAGAAAGCAATAAGAAAACTGTTCCAAATGAAATTTTAGTAAAAATAAGATAGAATGCGAACAATGCAATGTAATTTTTTCTTAAAATAATATGTGATTAGATATCTAAATAAAGTGAACATTCGTTTTGTGTGCGTGTGGGAGAAAAAAAAAACTTAGGCTAGTGGGAAGACATAATGCTCTTAAAGTACATTGAAGAAGAGCTTCATGTAGCCATCCAGAGAGGCTCCATTAGAGCTTTTGGAGTTGGTGCGTGCCCATTAGAGTTTTTCTTGACTTTATGAGATTCTTGCTCTCATCTTTGTTCACATTTAAGCTGTCAAAGGTAAAGAAACAAAATTCTAAGCAAGGCGACAACTACAAGTTAGTTGGGAGAATAGTTAAGTATTGCTGCTAATGATGGGAAATAATTATAATTACATAAATATCATATAATTTGCATGTATTTACATATCTAACCTCTATATTTTCATTTTATTTATATAAAACTTTAATATGTCAGTCATATGTTATATAAAAATTTTCATTTTTAAAAAATTGATATTTGTCACGACCCGGTTCGACTAGCCCGATAATAACGTGGCGGGAACAGTCGGTCGTACGGATAACACATATAAAACATAAACAATTATATTTAAAACTTTAATGCTAGTATATAAACATCATCCAGAAATGAAAGAGCCACTAATAACATCAATACCATAACTGAAGTGTTCCAAACTGTTCTTCACACACAATTACTAAAACATTAAACCACAATTACATAAACTCCAAATCACTGTTCTTACACAGGTACAAACTCAAACTGAAAACATAAAAGAAACCTCTCTTCTTGAAGTCCTCTACGACCGTATGTGTACGATCATCGTGCAGCCCTCACTTTTTAATAGTTTCTCCTGAAAAATATTTTTAAAGGTAGGGTGAGCCAATGCTCAGCAGGTGAAAAATATTTATCTCAAATTTATGAAATATTTTTCTTAACATATCATTAAACATGAAATAGAAAAAGGATCAATATAAACATTGATGATTGCATTTATAAAACAATTTTAATAATCATTTCTTAAAATATTTTTCTTATTTCATAACATTCTTTTCATTTCTTTTTCCATACAATTTCCTTTTCCTTAAATGCATAACTTTTAAAGTCATAATATGTTAAGCACCCGTCCCGGAAGTGCCTGATTTTGTACTGATCAGATACACAGTCAAATTTTGGTCATTTCCTTTACCATTGGCTCTACAAACCTCCTTTACCATTGGCTCTACGAGCCTTCTTTATCATTATTTTTGGCACTTTCCGGATCAAAATACACATGGACTATAATATAATATTTATTTTCATCAAGAAATTTGAAACTATTGAATGCCTCACATGATCTTCAATACTCTTTCGGGTAAATGAAAACTTGCATCTCTTATGTCTTCAATTATTTATTTAATTTGAATAGTTTAAATAACATGTCATGTATATAAGCAAAGATTGAAAAGCTAAAAACCATAATAAATAATTCAGGAACACAAATTTGTAACATTTTAAAAGTGTGGAATTATTTAATTAAAATTTCATAAATTCAATTTAAATGTAAATCACCTACTTTGTAAGCAGCGAATAAATACCACAATGTTGTACGACGATGTTAACCACTTGCCTTCACCTTAATCAACACCTAAAAGACAGTTACAATTTAACTAAGTATACATCGTGATTATATCCAAATAATTAACATAATTAATTTCTATTTTTGGAATTATTTAAATCTAAAATTTAGAAATCCCTAAATCTTAAATTTTGCTCAAATCTCTATTCTAAAATTATTTCTAAAAAATATTTAATAATTACCTAATTTATTTTTGGATTAATTAATTTAGAAAATTAGTGAAAATGAGATTTTCATCCAAAATCAAAATTTTTGCTTTAAAATCATTCCTAAGGACCTTAGAAGCACTTTTACTAAAAGCACTTAATATAAATTAGGTTTTGGGTAAAAAGCCTTAATTTTTCTTTCTCCAAAATCTTCATTTCTACCATTAAAATGTTTCTCTAATAAATCCCTACTGATTCCTTAAAGAAATTTGGGAGAAAAACACATTTTCTATAAAAAAACAATAAAATTTCGTTCTCAAATTTCTTGAGATTTAGAAAGATTCGCTTTAAAATAATCGTACCTGAATGTTCCTCTCGTTGTCCTCTTCGATTTGGACTAATTTTCTCACTGGAAGAAAGTCGCCAGAAAGCCCTTGCGGAACCCGCCCGTCCGTCCGCTCCCTCTCGGTTTGGTCGTGATTTGCGAAAGAAATGAGAGGGGGAGGGTTCGGGTAGTGTAATAAGGGAGAAAGGATTTGTCAAAAGTTTATTATGCCTTTACTTAAGCAAAATTTGGCCTTCTATTCGCATAGGGGTAAAACCGGTATTTCTAAACTTTTGAATTTTATAATTCTCAAAATATAAATAATTAAATATAAGTCCTATATATCAAAATGATCAGAATTTTGCATATGATTTTCTAAAAATATTTTCGTTGAATTCCATTAACATTAAAAATTTCACTTAAGTCTTGTTGCGACGCGTCGAAAAGCGTGCGACGACTTATGAACGTTATTTTTAGGTTTTACAATTCTCCCCTCCTAATAAAAATTCGTCCTCCAAATTTAAAAGAAATACTAAACAGTAAATCAATACCTTAGCCAAATAAATGAGGGTAGTTATCCCTCATTTCTGACTCCTTCTCCTAGGTGGCATCCTTCTCTGACCTGTGCTTCCAAAGCACCTTAACATAAGGAATCATTCTGCTCCTCAACTGCTTAACATCATAATCAAGAATTTTCTCTGGTTCATTCACAAAAGTCAAATCCGATTGAATATCTACCACTTCAGTACTAATCCTCTATGCCTCATCTGAAATATATTTTCTTAAAGAGGAAATATGAAACACATTATGCACTCCACTCATGTGTGCTGGTAGAATCAACCTATAAGCTACCTTCCCAATCCTTTTTGAAATCTCAAATGGTCCTACAAATCTTGGACTCAGCTTTCCCACCTTGCCAAATCTCTTCACTGCTTTTATTGGACTGACTTTGAGGAATACAAACTCTCCAACATCAAACTCAACTGGTCGGTGCTTGGCATCATAGTATTTCTTCTGTCTGTCCTGCACTACCCTCAATGTATCTCGAATCAACCTGATCTTTTCTGTAGCATCATCCACCAGATCAGCACCAATAATCTTCTTTTCCCTTGTCTCAGCCCGGCTTAAAGGTGTCTTACACATTCTTCCATACAAAAGCCTCATAAGGAGCCATACCGATACTTGCTTGAAAGTTGTTGTTGTAGGCAAATTCAATCAAAGGTACATATGCTTCCCACTTGCCACCAAAATTCAAAACACATAACATGAGAAAATCTTCTAAGGTCTGGATGGTTCTTTCTGATTGCCCATCTGTCTGAGGGTGAAAAGCTGTACTAAAGGTAAGTCTAGTATCCAAAGCTTTATGAACCTTCTTCCAAAATCTAGAAGTGAATCTCCCATCCCGATCTAACACTATAGACTTAGGTATCTCATGTAATCTGACAATCTGATCAACATACAGGCTTGCCAATTTTTCAACTGGATCAGACTGTTTGATAGGTATAAGTGTGCAGACTTAGTCAACCTATCAATAATTACCCATAAAGCATCACTTCCTCTTATGGATCTAGGTAAACCAACCACAAAATCCATAGCAATGTCTTCCCATTTTCACTCTGGTATGAGTAACGGCTGTAGAAATCCTCCTGGCTTTTGATGTTCAGCCTTAACCATCTGACATGAAATACATTTGGATACTGTATCTGCCACACTTCTCTTTATTCCTGGCCACCAAAACATCTCTTTTAAATCCTGGAACATCTTATTATTGCCTGGATGAATGGTGTAACTAGAGTAGTGAGTTTCTTAAAAGATTTCTTTCCTTAAGTCATCCACATCTAATATGCACAATCTGCCCTTATAACGAATCAATCATTCACCATCAAGCTCAAAATCTTCAATGAGTCCCACACTAACCATATCCATTATCTTCTTAAAATTTGTATCAAGTGGCAAGGCTTCTCGTACCCTTTCTGGAAAGGTTGATATAATAGTAGTTTGATTCAACCTTATAATTTCTATATCATTAGGTTAAACCACTGAATTTTCCAACTTCTCCAAATCCCTTATCAATTCTTTATGTTGTGTAATCATATAGTTTGCACTACCTGAATTCTTTTTGTTTAAAGCATGAGCAATAATATTTGCTTTGCCCAAATGATATTGAATGTCTAACTCATAATTTTTAATGAGTTCTAGCCATCTCCTCTGCCTTAAATTCAGTTCCTTCTGGGTGAAGATATACTTCAAACTCTGGTGGTTAGTAAAAACTTCACACCGAACACTGTACAAGTAATGCCTCCATATCTTCAAGGCAAAAACTACTGCAGCTAACTCCAGATCATGAGTCGGGTAATTCCTTTCATGATTCTTCAATTTCCTAGAAGCATAGGCAATGACTCTTCCATTCTGCATTAGTACACAACCCAACATTTTATGTGAGGTATCATTATAAATTTGAAATACATCTGATCCTGAGGGGATAGTCAGCACTGGAGCAGTTATCAAACATTACTTTAACCTCTGAAAAGCTTCCTCACACTGAGCTGTCCAATCAAACTTCACTGCTTTCTAAGTCAATCTGGATATGTTGCAACCCATGACCCCAAGCTTAAGATTTTGATGATGACAAATAATAATTGACTTGAGATTCATTGAATATTATTTGCTATTATCCGTGAGTACTAACATTTCAGGAAGATCAAAAGCTATTCAGGACGACAGGAAGACTCAAGGATGGGTAGATTAGGAGTAAGAGTCTGTAATGTATTTTCTTTTTTATTTTATTTTTATTTTCTTGAGTCTGGCCACAAAATGCATAAAAGCTCGAGCAACCATGCACACACACAGGGGGAGAAGTTTTAAATGTAGAATGTAATAAAATTTCTTCTCTGTAGATCATACTGTACGATGATAATTCGTACTGTATGATCAGAGGGTTGTAGTACGATTCTGTGAATACATCGTACAGTACGAAATTATATCGTACTGTACGATATGTTCAAATCCAAAACTCTAGACGTTGTTTAACTTAAGTAAGAAATTTTTCGCCGTTCGTACGTACTGTACGATTATTTTTAAATACTTACTTAACTTAACCCATGATTAGGGCAAGAAATCCGGGCTTAATTATAATTTGAACATCGTACTGTATGAACCCATTCATACAATACGATGAACAGAGACGAATTATAATCATCCCGGATGATCAGTTGTTTTTTGTCTCATCGTACTGTACGATGTACATCGTACCATAAGATGAACAGAGACGATGTTTTATCGTCCCGACTATCGTCTTGTACGAACTGTGTTGTCATGGATCGTACCGTACGATTTAGTATCGTACTGTACGAACATTTTTGAACTGTTCGTACCACTTCGTACCAGGATGAAGTCTATTTATGAAGATCATACTGTACGATTGTAGAACCGTACTGTACGATAGTAACGACTACTTTGAGATTTCAGGGTTTTTGGAGCTCGTTTTTTATGTATCAAAAAGTAAATTTTCAAAGAGTGTTTGAGAGAGGAGCACGTGGTTAGAGAGGGATTCCAAGGGAGAGAGCTCTAGAGAAGTTCTTGAGGGTTTGAGAGAGGAAGGAGAAGGTGAGCGTTGTGAGGGAGAAGAGGTGTGAGGGAGATCACACGGTTGCTCCAAACTTGCTGCATCTTGCTCCTCATGTGGCCCTAGAAGAATTTGAGGGAGGATCTCCAAGGGAAAAGCTCATCTACATCCGTGACCTCGAGGTACTCTGCCTTCTCCAGGAGGGAGAAAAACGAGAAGGTTCTCTGCCGTCGCCAGGAGGGCGAAAATAGAGTTTGGCACTCCACCACGCCGGGTTGGTGAAATAGAGGTTTGTAAAGGCTTCTCCGCCTTGCCGAGGGGGGCAAAAGGAGAACTATAATTGGTAGTGAAAATCCCGGAGCGGAGGAGTTCGGAGAGTGGACGTAGGTCATATTTTGACCGAACCACTATAAAAATCTTGGTGTGTTTTTTCCTTACTGCATTTCATTACTGCGTGCCTTTTTAATTTCAAAATATTTGCCTTGAAAAATTTGGAAAAAAAGGTTGTTTAATTTTTCATATTAAAATTCTAAAAACAACGAAAAGATTTAGAACTCCTACTTAGGTTTTAATTATTGTCAAAAAGTTTTCACAATTCACCCCCCCTCTTGTCCATATAGTAATTTCAGGATAGTGGCATAGCCATCTGTGAAAATCCTTCAACAAACCTTCTATAGTAGCCTGCCAATCCCAAAAAGCTCCTAACCTCAGTCACTATAGCTGGTCTTGGCCAGTCTGCTGTTGCTTGCACCTTATGCTGATCCACGGATATCTTCCCATCAGTGATCACATGCTCCAAAAAATTTACACTCTTCAGCTAAAATTCACACTTGGAGAACTTAACATACAATTCATTCACTTTTAAGGTATGCAATACTGCCCTTAAATGATTTGCATGTATCTCTAAATCAGGGGAGTAAACAAGTATATCATCTATGAATACTATCACAAATAGATCTAAAGAGGGCTCAAAGGTTCTATTCATGAGATCCATAAATACTGCAGGAGCATTTGTCAAACCAAAGGGCATCACTACAAACTCATAATGCCCGTATCTAATACTGAAAGAAGTCTTTGTAATGTCCTTCTCTATAATCCCGAGCTGATGATACCCTAGCCTCAAATCAATCTTGGAAAACACTGAAACACCTTCAAACTGATCAAATAAATCATCTATCCTTGGGAGAGTATACTTATTCTTCACTCTCAATTTATTCAGCTATATGTAACCTATACAGAGCCTTAATTAGGCTTCCATCTTTCTTTTTCATAAAAAGAACAGGAGCACCCTAAGGGGAGGTACTAGGCCTGATGAAACTCTTCTCAAGCAACTCTTGTAGTTACTCCTTCAACTCCTTAAGCTCCTTAATTGTCATTCTATACGGAGCCTTAGCAATATGTTCAGCTCCTGCCACTAACTCAATAGAGAAATCTATTTCTTTACTAGGAGGTAAGCCAGGTAAATCATTTGAAAATACTTCTGGAAACTCCTAAACAATTGGGATATCTTTCAGCTCTCTTTCTTCTTTCTTCTCCTCCTTAACATAGGCCAAGAAGCCTTCATATCCTTTCTTTAATATTTGAAAAGCCTTCAGAGATGATACAATTACTGCAGTTACTCCTTTATTCCATTGAAATTTGAATTTTTTCTCTCATGGCATACAAAACTTAACATCCTTTTTGTTACAATCTATAGTCACGAAATAGAAAGATAACCAATACATGCCTAAGATTGCATCAAACTCAGATAGAGGTAATACAATCAGATCCGCCTTGAAGCTCTTATCACAAATCCTCAAATCCACTTAACATTTCTACTTAGCTTCCATATGATTTCCTTTAGGTATTAGGACTGATAGAGACTTCATCATAACTGTAGGAAGAAAACTTGCATATCTAACAAACTCTTTTAAAATAAAGGAGTGGGACGCTCCAGTATCAAACAAAATTCTAACGGGTCTATCGCACATAAGAATTGTCTCTAATCATAAAGAGTTACATAATTTAATTATAAAACATGTCATTCATTATTCGTTGATTTCATTTCTATTCATTATTCATTCATATTTATGTAAAAATTATTTATTTCAATTAATTAAATTATGCACTTGTAACCACATCAGGATACCTCTTAGCTTCTTGCTGGTACAATCCATAGACTCATGGCTGAACATTCTAACGAGTCTGACCTTGAGAAGGCACAGAAGTTGTAAACTCCACAACTATTGGTCTACCAGCAGTCCTCTGAGTATTATTGCCTGATCTAATCTCTGTAGCAAATTTTTGTCCCAAAAGAGGGCAAGACTTCGTCATATGTCCAAGCTGATTGCACCAAAAAAAAGTATTAGTGCTAGAGAGGCACTCTCCCTTATGCGCTCATCCACACTTACTGCATAAAGTAGCAGTTGAAGCAATGCTGTCAGAGTTGCTGGATCTGGACTTCTTCCAAGTAGAAACTCCTGATTGAGAAGACTGAGCAAATTGGGAGGGCTTTGACCTGCCATCCATCTTCTTTTTTTAAAAATCTCTCATCTTCTAAGTTGCATGTATATCCATCTCAATCATTCTGACTCTTTCCACCAAAATAGAGTAATCCTCAATTCCAAAAGAAATGAGAGGCTGCCTTATCATATCCTTTAACTCATTCAGAAAGCGGTGACACTTCTCCTCAGCATTTGGTATCAGGTGAGGGGCATACCTGAATAACATTGTAAACTTTACCTCATACTGAGAAACAAATCAGTCTCCCTGAACCAATCTGTTGAACTTATCCTACATCTGTCTCCTGGCTGACATAGTTACATACCAGCCTCTAAATACCTTTACAAACTCCTCCCACGAGACTTGGCTGCTTGATATTCCTCTAAAGGTTTCTTCTAACTAACACCTCCACCACCTCTCAGCCTCTCCATCAAAGGCATAAGCAGCCAATGTCACTCTCCTATCCTCTGGGCAAGACATGCCCTCAAGGATCTTTTCAATCCGCATTAGCCAGTCCTCAGCCTCTATAGGTCCGCCACTTGAAAATAACGGAGGCTTCATATCCTGAAATAGTTTCAGGTTCTTATCCATAGGTCGACATCCACTTCCACTCCTCTAAGTTTGAGAAGTCTTAATCATCTGAGTCATCGCTTCCATCATATGAGCGGATGACACCAAAGTGTTGTTCCTCTGAGGTTATGCTACTTCTAGTAGCTCCCTCCATTCCTCCATATCAATGCCATCAGTGGCATTTTGCTCAGGATCCATATTCCTGAGATAAAATACATCAATCATAAGACAAAATAATTCATAAATTTACACTTCCTAAATATTCTAAGTGTAAAGGCTGTTTTCCTCCCAGGATCGTCCGGGATGAAGTGGATCGTCCCGGACGAAGTGGATCGTCCCGGGACGATCTGTACAGATTGTGAAGAAATCTGCATGTTCGTATGTACGAATCTGGAACAATCGGGGCGAACCGTCGGAATGAACTGAACCCGAGAGTTTCGTCCCGGGACGACGAAATTGGCATTTGATTTTGTCTGGACGATCTGGTCCACGATCTGGTCTAGAGGAGATCATCCCGGGACGATCGGGAACATCGTCCAGGACGATCCTGCTTAATAAATATCCGATTTAAGTCGTTTTGAAGAGAGAGAAAGTCCAGGAGAGAGAAAACCGAAGGGAAAAGAAGAAAAGTGGATTTTTGGGCGACTTCCGTCCGTTTGCGTCCGTCGCCGTAGTTGGAGAAGTTGACCGACTCGAGGTAAGGCACATTCCGCCTTTCTCAATTTTCAGAAACGAGAATTTTGACGACTTTTTAGTCTCAATTTTTGTTTCTGTTAGCAAATAATTGATTTTATTTCGCACTGCTAAAGATTTTACCGCGTAACTTTTGGTATGTTTATGAGATGATAATTGTGCACGTTTTGAGTATTTTTTGGAAGATTTTTACCGGATATTTTGAATTCTGTGTCATTTTAATTGAATTGTAAATTATCAGGATGTTGAAAAATGTTACTTCAGTACAGTAAAAGTCTTATAATGTTGTTGTGGATATTCTGTGATAATTTGGTAAATTTCTAGATATGTAAATTTTGTGTAAATTTTGTATACTGTCGTTATGCTGCTGATTTTTCATATGAATTATGATTTTTCTGAATTGATACATTGAATGAATTGAAGTGTTTGTATGTTATCATAAGGGAGTTATATAGGGCCATGATCCTTTGAGATTATGTAAGTGTCAGAAAAATCTGATATGAGCTCTGAAATCTGAAAATAAGTTCTGTTCCGGAATTTTGAATATCTGTTCTATTCTGGTGCTATAAGCACAAAGGGAGACATAAAGGGTCAGAATCCGTCGAGATTCTGTAAGTGTCAAGGAAGGGAGACATAAGGGACCAGAATCCGTCGAGATTCTGTAAGTGTCAGGGATGGGAGGCATAAGGGGCCAAAATCCATAGAGATTCTGTAAGGGTCTGGGAATTTGAAATCTGATATGTGATATGTTATCTGAAATCTGATATTTGATATCTGATAATCTGTGCTGTGACTTATATGATCTGTTTTATGAATTATGTGATTAGAATTATTTGATATGAATGTGATTTTATCTGATTTCTGTACGATTCTGGTTATTCCGTAAGATTCTGTTTGCTCTATAACATGAAAGCCTTATGATATCTGTTCTGAACTCTGATTTAAAATGACTTCAATTTTCTGTATCAGTTGTTTAATTTCTGTTGATCAAGTATCTGTTCTACGATTTTCGTTCGGCTATTTTCTGATGTATTTTCTGATGTGAATTTCTGATGATTTAGATTGGTGAGTGATGTCTTGCTGGGCTGTGTTAGCTCATCCTTGTTTTCTGCGTGGTTTTTAGGTTCTGGAAAAGGAAAGGAAGTTTTGGATTAGCAATTTAGAGTCTTATCAGTGATTAGGTATTTTGTACTTTTGATTTTTGTATAGTCATGGTTTTTCTGTTCTTTCTATCTGTAAGTCATGTACTGTATCTATATATGATTGTTTTGATGAAAGAAAAGATAGATGAACTGTTATGTATTTGGATGTTTATAGTAGCTCTGTGTTTTTCTGTCTATTTAATATTTCGAAGAAAGTCTGAAGCAAATTCCAAAGATAGATCCTGGATTTTCAAAGGTTCCGTCGCGGCCAGATGCGAGCGGGATCCGTCCCGGTCGGGTTGGGTCGTGACAAGCCTTTTAAGTGGTATCAGAGCAATAGTTTTGGAATTTGGATTGTAAGATAGAGCTATAGGAAGTGATATGTGTGAGTCTGTCAGGGTAGTTCTGATTTGTCTGAATTTTTATTCTGTTGTTTTGTGCCTAGTTTTCTATGTGATTATGGATCTGCCAGACCCATATATGACAGATGGGCAGAGTGCTAGTCAAGCAGCTCCGATGAGTAGTACTGCCCCAGTGGTTGGTTTTGATACACTTTCTTAGTTTGCTACGCTGGTTGCTCAGATAATGAGCGAGACTCAGAGTAGAGCCTCTACTGTTCGATCTGAGGATGTGGATAGACATCTACAAATGTTTCTGAGATTGAAACCTCCGAGGTTTGAGGGCACTGTTGAGCCCAGAGCAGCTGAAGAGTGGTTGAGGAGGTTGGAGAAGTCTTTTCACGGTATGCAGTGTCCGTCGGACAGGAAGGTATCGTTGGCAGTTTTTCTGTTAGATGGGGAGGCTGAGCGCTGATGGATGGGCCAGCAGGAGGAAAAGTTTTAAGGAAAGCTAAACTCTCTGATCTCTTGGGAAGAGTTTTCTGAGGTATTTCGATCGTGGTTTGTACCTCCTTCTACAAGACAGCAGATGCATGAGACTTTTTTTAGACTAGTTCAGGGGAGCAGGACTGTGATGCAGTATGAGGCAGAGTTTACTGCTTTAGCCCGATATGCTCCGCAGTTGGTGAGTACTTCTGCTGAGAAGTGCTATAGATTTCTAAGGGGACTAAGAGATAGTCTGAGGCAGCCCTTGGTACCGTTTCATATTTCTAATTTCTCTGAGCTTGTGGAGAGAGCTCGTCTGATAGAGAATGATCTGATGGCTACCCAGCAGCGGTGGACTGCGAGTAGGAAGAGGTTCGGGGGTGATGTTTCTAATAGTGGTTCTTCTGGCAAGAGGAGATTTGTTTCTAGAGATCCCAGGAGGAGTGGACAGACGGGATCCACTACAGTTTCTGGTACTGCCGCTACCAGTACGACCAATTCTGGATCTGTCAGTGGGGCACCTGTGTGCCAAAGTTGTGGACGATAACATTTTGGTCAGTGCTACAAGATGACTGGTCAGTGCTTCAGATGTGGTTAGCCAGGACATTGGATTGCAGAGTGTCCACAGGTTGGATTTGATAGACGATCTGAGTTCCAATCTGATAGTAGACCTGTTGGTTCAGCAGGAAGGCCGAGGATTGTTCCTCCACATACTGTGAGTGAAGGATCCTCTGGTAGAGGTGGTGGGTCGAGTTCTGTGGCACGGAGACCACCTACTGGTAATCAGCGGGAGTCTAGTGGTTCAGAAGCTCCAGCTCTAGTTCAGCCACGTGTGTATAGTTTGAGTCAGCAGGAGGCTCGAGATGCTCCGGATGTGGTGACAGGTACGATTTATATTTTTGAACATCCCTGTCGTGTTCTATTTGATTCTGGAGCCAGTCACTCGTTTCTTTCCCAGCGCTGTTTTGATGCTTTGCATCTGGATTCTATTTTGCTACCAGTTTTGCTTTCCATTATTTTGCCGGCTCTTGCCCGGAAGTTTTATTTCTGTGAGCTTGATATTTCAGGCAAAAAATGGAAATCGAGTTTGATTTTATTGCCGATTTCTTCTTACAATGTGATTTTGGGTATGGATTAGCAGAGTCTGTATGAGGCCCAGATTGACTGTTTGAAGAAGCAAGTGAGCTTGCTTATGGATGGTGAGAGGTATGTATTTCAAGGATTACGAGGTGTTCTATCATGTCTGATTTATGTGTTGGAAGTCAGAAGAATGTGGAAGAATGGTTGTCCGGTATTTTTGGCTTTTATACGGGATATGAATCTAGATGTGGGTTTTGTTTTTGATATACCGGTTGTACAGGAGTTTTCTGATGTATTTCTTGAGGAGTTGGTTGGTTTGCCTCCGGATAGAGATGTTGAGTTATGTATTGATGTTTTTCCAGGTACAGCTCCAATATCAAAAGCTCCGTACAGGATGGCACCGAAAGAACTTTCTGAGTTGAAAGTTCAGCTCCAGGAGTTTGTGGATAGAGGATTTGTTCGTCATAGTGTTTCTCCTTGGGGAGCACCTGTACTGTTTGTGAAAAAGAAGGAAGGAACACTCCGTTTGTGTGTTGATTACAGAGATTTGAATAAAGTCACGATCAAAAACAAGTATCCATTACCACGGATTGATGACTTGTTTGATCAGCTTTCTGGTTCTTCTGTATTTTTAAAGATTGATTTGAGATCTGAATACTATCAAGTGAAGTTGAAGGAAGCTGATGTGTTAAAGACAGCTTTCAGTACTCGGTACGGACACTACGAGTTTTGGTTATTCCTTTTGGGGTAACCAATGCACCAGCTGTTTTCATGGATCTGATGAACAAAGTGTTCAAGGAGTATCTGGATCAGTTTATGATCGTCTTCATCGATGATATTCTGGTGTATTCTGCTTTTGAGGAAGATCATGCCAGACATTTGAGCATTGTGTTGGAGACTTTGAGATAGCATCAGTTGTATGCTAAGTTTTCCAAGTGTGAATTCTGGTTGAAGAGCATTTCTTTTCTGGGGCATGTGGTGAGCGGTGAAGGTATTTCTGTTGATCCTCAGAAGATTCAAACTGTTGCTGATTGGCCAAGGCCTACTACGGTATTTGAGGTACGTAGTTTCTTAGGCATGACCGGATATTATAGAAAATTTATGAAGGGATTTTCTCAGATTTCTACACCTCTGACGAGACTGACTTAGAAGTCAGTAGCTTTTGTTTGGACTTCAGAATGTGAGGCTAGTTTTTAGAAGTTGAAGGATTGTTTGACTTCAGCTCCTGTGTTAGCACTTCCGTCAAATACGGAAGGATTTCAGGTGTTTAGTGATGCTTCAC